TAACCCCTATAAACCCATTTAGGGGGATCATGACATGGGGCTTAGTTAGGGTTTAGGGTTTAGGATGAGTTTCATGCAAGAGTCAGGGTTGGTAGATGCTTGGAAGATTCGGAAACAAAAAAGAAGACGACATGCAATCACCCTAAACCCTAAACCCAAAACCCTAAACCCCAAATCCTAAACCCATCATCCCCTTGAAGACCAACTTTGCCAATTGTATGCCTCAGGTGGGCCCCCAACCCTGTAATAGTGGTATAAGAGGAAGATAAGAGGGCCCTAAAACATTTACCAATTTTGTTTATGGTGGCCATAACTAGGTTGGGGGAGGGGGGGGTCCACCTCAAGTATGCCCCTTAATAACCCCTATGATGCTCCCCTGTATCATCCCCTAAATAACCCCTTGAAGGAGTTTAGACTATGGCTCGAATGAGTCATCCAAGTGACTAGCCTTTTAGATCTGTGGAGGCCTTCCTGCCCAATGCAAAATTTAACGCCTTGGCCCTTGCGCAATCTGAAAGAGGTTTAAGGTTTAGGCTTTAAGATTTAGGGTCTAGGGTATATCCCTACCCCGTCATCATGACAGAAAATACGGAAAATAAGCGAGCAGGAGTGTCTTTTCTGATCCTGGCTAGTTCAAGCTTTATCAAGATCTCATCCTTGGCTTTGCCACAAACTCTCAACCCTAAACCCTGCACCCTAAACCCTAACCCCTAAACCGCTAAACCCTAAACCGTGCCATGTCTTGCCCCCCCTCAATCCCAACTTCGGTTACATTGCGATTCCTCGTCGTATACAAATTGAAGTGTGGCCTCTCGGCCCGTCTACCCATGAACCCCAAATCCTGAAGCCTCTCTAACGCCAACCCCAACCCTAAACACTATACTTGACTCGAATCTTGAAGCCCCTACATACCTAAACTCTACAACCCGAAGCCTAAAACTCATAAGTAAATCCAACGCCCTAAATCCCTTTTTGTGGGCCGAGTCGCGCATCCACCAGTAATCCTGCATCCGCTGGGTCCGATCCCACTCACCTTAGTCTGTTGGGATTGGGTTTAGGATTCGGGGCTTAGGGTTTGGAGTTCAGAGTTTTGGATTTAGAGTCTCTGGTTTAGAGTTTGGGGCTTAGGGTTTACAGTTGCAGGTCTGAATCTAATGCTCTGGAGCTTGGTGGTTGGTGTTTAAAGCGTGGAGTTTGAAGTCTAGGGGTTAGAGTTTCGGGTATGGCGGCTGGCACCTACCAATGTGTGAAAAGAACCCCTAGAATAACCGTGTGATCTCCACACATCTTGCGCTCTCCGAGAGAACCCCGAGATTGAGAAAGCACTCATGTCATTAAGTTGCTTTGGTATTACCACCCCGAAAATTAGGACCCTGTTATAGCAATATGCCAGTTGTAGACATAGGGTCCTAGTTTCAAGAGTTGGGGTTTCTAAAACCCTGTGCAACCCTAAGCCCTAAGCCCGAAACCCTAACCCTAAACACAGAGCCCTAAACGCTAAACCCTAACCCTAAGCCCCAAACGGTAACCCTAAACGATAAACCCCAAACCCCTTTTGGAGGTTCCCGAGATCCTCTTCTTACAGCCTAAAAGTAATTAGACCTAGGGGCTTGGGTTGTGGGATGGCCAACTCTTGGGGATTCGGGTTTAGGGTTTAGAGTTTAGGGGTTTAGGGTTTAGGGGTTTAGGGTTTTGGGGCTTAGGGTTTAGGGGTTGAAGGTCTAGGATCAAGCACCCTAACCTTGAGAACCGTCCAGGTTTAGGGAATTCTAGTGCTTTTGATTCTGGAGTCTAAGGTGGAATTTCTACTTTCTTTGGAGGTCCAGGGTTAGGTATCCCAGCACCCCGTAATACAACCCTAAACCCCTAAGCCCCTAAACCGCTGACCCCTAGACCCTAAACTAAACCCTAAACCCACCAAATCAAAGGGTCCGGTTCTGATGCTGGCTTGGAGATGTGGATTTCGCGACTAGTGACTAGTGCTGGGTTTAGGGTTTAGTGGCGTGCAACACAAATTAGGCCCCAGTCCGAAGAAGATGTTTCCAACAGGAGACGCATGAATTTGAGAGACTCCTAAAAGGTATCAAGGACCGGATTACATGGGGGCATTTAGGGTTAAGAGTAAGATGCACCCCAGAGGTGTATGTTTCTGGATTTGAGGCAATTATGTCACCTACTGTTGAGTTCCAGGTAACCACCTGACTGATAGTGGCCCGAACAGAAACCTGTACAAATCCTAAGACCCAAAGGCCAAAAACCCTAAACTCTAAGACCTTAACCCCAAAGTGCTAGTACGAGGTTGGGCTCGCCTTTTCGTGCTGCTGGTTTTCTGAGACTGCCAGACTTTGTGGCGTAGTGTCCCATCAGCGAATTTATCACCCCAACTTTCAGCGTAACACGATGGGGTTCCATAAATAGGGGGGTCACGAATATTGACCATAGTGCTCACTTCGGGGCCTACCAAAAGGCACCCCCTATTTTTGAAAACCCAACAGGATCACCGGAATGATCCCTGCAAGATCGGCATGTAGTCTTGCGGGGCCCATCTCTGAGACAACAGGTGGGTCCAAACAATGAAGCAAAGAAGTATGGCTGATACCAACAAACCTGCGTTACCCTTAGTACCAACCAAAAAATTGGACAATTCTGTGGTTTAGTGTTACAAGGTCATGCAACTTTTTTAACATCAACAGTAACCAATGAACATGATTGACTGGGCTACAAAGCACTGCTGCTTCCGTATTTCTATGATTGCTACCAATCGCATTGTATGCTTTAGGTGGATCCCCACCCAGAAATAGTGACTGAAGTGATGATGGTGATTACATTAGGGCACTCTAAACTTCGTATTCTACCACTACTGGAAGGGGGGGGGCTCCGAATAATGTTGAAGAGGAACCCCTCAGCTTAGGCTGAGACACGTCCTAACTTGCACAAGGACTTTGGCGACAGGGTTGGCATATCCGAGTTCTTGCTGTAATTGTAACTTACAACGTTCGGGGCCGGGTGTGGAATCCCTAAACCCTACACCCCAAACCCTAACCCGCTAGCCAGTCTGTCGGCATCATACAGCAGTCCTCACGACTTTCTCATCAAGGGCTTCAGGCTTGCACCCGTGAGATGGTACCCTTGGGTTTAGGGTGTATGGGTGGCACTTAACCCTAAGAGTCCAAGGACCCAAATAATAGGGTCCCTTTCAAGGGGTTCTAGGGGGATATATAGGGGTATTAGGGGATTATATAAGAGTCCAAGGACCCAAATAATAGGGTTTTAGGGCCCAAATACTGTAATCTTAATGGTATTTGGGCCCTAAAACCCTATTATTTGGGTCCTTGGACCCTTAGGGAAACAGCCGCCCAACACTCTCCTATATGCTAGAAAACCCCTAATCTTGAGAAACGCTTGAGGGTACGTTTTCCCGTTTTTACCTTGGACTTTCGGAAAGTCTAGACGGTGTGCGCTTCCAAAGCGACAGCCCATCTTTAAGATCCTAGAATACTATCAGCGTAAGTGTCCGGACTCCCATAATCGCACCCTACGTGCTTTGGAACACTATTTGAGCGTGGATTTGTGGTGGCTGCACCAAATGAGATTCTGTCGCTCTTTTTTATGAGAAAGGGCGATAACAAACAACGATATTGAACAAGAAGTGCAAAAGGAGATGTCACCTACTCCATGGTGAACTTGGAACCCTAGTAGCAATTATCATTTTTGCTCTTCCTTAGGATAATAATGAGCAAAAAGAAAAATATTACCCCTAAGAGTAACCTTAAAACCTAAAACCTAATATTTCATTTCAACCAAACCCTAAGTAATCAAAAAATCCCTAAACCCTAAACCCGACTTCATGGCTCACGTAGCTTTCCTTGCCTCCTGCAAGGCACGCACGACTTCTGCGTGCCCGGAGATGGCTGCCTGAGCTCTTTAAGGTTCAAGATGGGAGGAGATTAGGGTTGAAGGATATCAGAGTTTCGGGGTTTAGGGTTGGAGGGTGTAGGGTTTCAGGGTTTAGGGTTTAGGGTTAGGGCTTCGGTTTCAGCATGAATGCTTGCAGGTGAAAGTTTAATCCCTACAAGGGGGTTTGAGAAGGGCTACTTTGAGAGACTTTCACATGGCGGTTAAGTTGTGAGCGACTCGCGCTTCAGGGTTAAGGGTTTCTGGTTGCAGAGTTTAGGGTTTTGTGCTCGGGGCTGAATCTTAGGCTTAATCCGAGGGTCAGATTAATTCAAGGGACCGCATTTAAAGATTTTTTTTTAAAAATTAGCCGTCCAAGACTAATTTCAAATAGGCGGGATTTCGTATTGGGAAAAGGGACCAGATTTAAAGAAATGTTCTGGGGGACCAGTCCTGAAAATCGAGATATTCAATGCATTCCTATTCATTGTTAAATTATTCGAAGTCCAAGAGCCCCGATGATGCGGGAATGCACTCCTATTCTTTTTTAAATTGAATTCCAGTGGTCCCAATCACTCTTTTAATCTGGCGCCCTCCTTTGCTTCATTGCTTATTCTGGCGGGGGGGGGCCAAATTAAGCAGACCCTAGGATTAAGGGGCTTCAGGGTTGTGGTAGCATGAATAGAGGATCAAATGGGCTAAAAGGGAAAATCAAATGAAGACTGGCATGATATAGGACTTCTTACTGGTGGTTACTAGGGAATGAGGGAATATAGTCCCGATAAATTCCTTAGATACTACAGTATCTCCTTTTATTCCTTACTAGCCGCTAGTAAGTCAGGGTGTGAGTTAGTTAGACTCGATAAGCATAAGCACTAGCGTTATCTATAACCGTAGGTATAAGAGACTTTGGGGGATTACCTAGTGATCCCATACACTGCATGCACAAATCAACAGCAAGAGCTCTAAAACCAAAGCCAAAGGTCTCAAATATGGGCCGGCTGTGTGAACACAACACATACCTGAATTGCAGGTATGAACATAAAAGCTAACGTAACCCCAAAACACGTCATCGCCTCGACCATAAACCCTAAAACCAAGCAAGCCTAAGACACGTAGGTAACCGGTGTGTCGCCGTAGCCTTGTTTGTGCAGTGCACGGAAAGGGTTTAGGGTTTCGAGTTAGCCTTTCTGGCCTAGGGTTTAGGACATATTGCGATTCCCCGAGCGGTCATGGAATCCCTGAAGGGTACCTACGAATTTTTCGATCCTAACGAACAAAGCCTCTTTTGGATTTCAGGCGGGGGTTTGCCAAATTTGGGGCTACGTTTTTAGAGTTTAGAGTTTTGGTTTAAGGGTGTAAGGGTTTAAGGTTATACCATTTGGGGGTCCTATGTTGGGGCCCCCTTATTTTGGGAAACTGCCACTTTAGTCTGCGAGCAGTCGAGCAGAACGTTGAATGAATCCGAACCCCACACCTCTAAACCCCAAAGGCTAAAGTCAGGAAAGTCTCTACATGAGCTAGTATCCCCCTTAGTAACCCCTGACATACTCCCCTATAGAACCCCCTCTATAACCCCCTTTAAGTAGTTTAGCCTGTAGCTCACGTAGTACATACGGCTATGCAGGGCCTGATAAGTAGGATGTTCACTAAGGCGCTTTACCAAGAATCCCTAAACCCTAAACCCTCTAAACCCTTCACCGAGATGAACAATGTTCAGCAAGACCCCAAGGTGATGATCCACGGTTAGGGGGGGGGGGGTGTTTTGGCTTTAGGTTTTAGGATTCAGGGTTAGGACTAAATGTCTAGAATTTAGGGTTTAGCATTTAGGGTTTCTAGCTTGGGGTTTGGGGCTTAGGTTCAGGCACTAGGGCTTACCTGGACGGTAAAAACAGTTAGAATCATGGCCCTTCACCCATATATATATATATATATACATCTACATATACACACACACATGTACATATAGATGGACGGCCACAAAACTATTCTGCATGCTTTTGGGGCTCCAACCCGCAAAAACTAGATGGTAGTTTACCAAAATAAGGGGACCCCAATGTAGACCCCAAAATACTATAATCCTTATTATTGGGACCCCTAAAATGGTACCCCTAATTTTGGGAAAGCCCCATATATCCCTTATTGAGCTACAGCCCAAGGTTTCCCAGATAGCAAAACGGACATGCGACGCTTATGAAGGACGATGTTACCCTAAGGGTCCAAGTACCCAATAATCATATACTTTCCCAAAATTGTACTATAACTACTATTACCCAAATCCCAAAGTACCTAGTTATTGGGTACATGGACCCTTAGGGTTAGGGACTCTGCTCAACTACAAGAGTGCCCCCTATGTCCACCCGTATTGGTCTCTTAAGAAGCCTAGTATTGACACTAATTAGCTCATATCATCCCTAAACCCTAAACCCTAAACCCTAAATCCTCAACCCTAAACCCTAAACCCTAAACCCTATAGACCCTAAACCCTAAACACTAAAGCCCTGCAGGCGGGCTTGTAGGGCTTAGCTCGAAATCCAAAGCCCAGAGTTGCAAACCCAAAATTTAGGGTTTAGAGTGTAGGGTTTAGGAGTTTAGGGTTTAGGAGTTTAGGTTTTAGGAGTGTAGGGTTTAGGAGTTTAGGGTTTAGGAGTTTAGGGTTTAGGAGTTTAGGGTTTAAGGCTTGGGCAATAGAGCCTCAAACCCTTACCCCCTACGCAGCTCTTAACTCTTTATCGATAACCTAGCACCGACGGGCAGCGTGAACCCCTAACCCCAAACTCAAACCCTAAACGTGTAAACCATAAAGTCTAAACTGGCAAAACCCCACCCTTCAAACCGGAAAACCCCAATCCCCAAACCCGAAACCCTAAACCGCAATCCTTCCAGCCCTACACCGCAAGAACTCTAAATCCTAAACCCTCAACCCAGCCAGAAATCGGTCTAGCTTGGTGGGATCTGCACCATTCTCGGCCAGGTACCTGCCAGGGAGTAACGTTTTTTTTGACCCCAGGTCACAAGGATATAGTGGTTAACGTATATAGGGTTTATATAAGGTTTAGGGTTTACCTGAATTAGGATTTAGGGTGTTTGGGATTCGGCTGGTTAGGGCTTAGGGTTCATGGTATGTATGGTTTATTGCTGAACTTGTTTGGGGTTAGGCCTGCCCAGGGGATTGGGGTCTGCAGGCTCAAGATTCAAAATCTCAGCATACTACAGTAACAAGCTCCTCTGGGATACGATTTAGAACTTGCCGATGGCCGCGAACTGCAACTGAAAAGCATTTAACGGTCGAATGTGAAACATTCCATCCTTCATAGCCTAATAAGCTGGCCTAGGTAACTTGTATAGGGTTTGGGCTGATGTGTGTGTATTACTATGGTTATATACAAGTTGTAAGGGCACAATAGTTGTAATTGTTTAGGCTTCTACATAAACCTTGGGAAACCACAAAAGAAATCAATCGAAGCAAATAGTCAAGACCTTGACAAACTCAACGCCTCGCACACCCAACCTTTAGGGTTTAAGTACTTACTAATCATATACGCAACTCCTGTTTCCCAAAATTTCGCTAGCCAACAAGTCGTTGACACTCTGGGGCATACCGTGCCGTAAAGCATTGACACTCCCCTACGCTAAGCACTGAGCCCGCAAAACCCTAAACTGTGTAAGTTGCACGGACGCGCAATCCCCAGGTTAGCTATCGCTGCGAGCTCCCTACCTTTCCCCCTCCCATAATGCCGGTGCTAGGTTTAGGGTTTAGGGTGGCTAGTTGGCTTTCACTATACCCGAACCCGAGGGGGTAGTATGTGGTTCGGGAACCCACAATATGATAACAGTGTCAAACACCCGTAGGTGCAAAAACATGGCTCGTTTTGGGGTTGATGTTAATACTCTCAGAGGAAGAATATGGAGGCCCTAACTTTGACACGTGCATAAAACGCCAGCAAGTCTAGCCGTACTGAATTTGCAGCCATAGGTTCACACAGCCCTTACACCCCAAGCACTCCCCTCCCCAGTGTCCCTTCAACAAGGATTCTATGTTCCATCTGAGCTTGGGGGAGGTCACCTCTGAAACCCCCAAATCGTAAAGCCCAACTCCCGAACCCTTACAGCAAAGCCTGAAGCCCTGAACACAAAACCCCAAACCCTAAAGCCCCGAACCCCCAAACCCCACACCTTAAAGCCTAAACACAAACCCTTATAAATTTATAAATCCTAAACCACCTCGAGACGTCCACGTAGCCCTTGTTGCCCGAAGCATGAAGCGGTGTTCTTCCGTGACCTGGGAACGTTTAGGTTTTAGGGCTTAGGGGGTTTAGGGTTTTTGGCCATCTTCATGAAGTTGAGGTAAAGCACTAACCCTACGGGTCCAAATGCCCAACAATCACAGACTTGCGCTCAAAACCTGCGCTACAACTACTCTTGCCCAAACACCAAATTTCCAATTCTTGGGTATCTGGACTCTTGGGGTAAGCCCTAAACCCTGAACCTTAAATACCCTGAACCCTGAGCCCTATACACACTGAAACCTGAACCCTGAGCCATGGAAGGTTTAGGGCTCAACTCCTGGATCCTAAGCCGCGCACGATGCGAAAAAGTTTGAGGTGTTGTTTACCGCTTTAGGAGCTGCGCTCCTTACCTGAACTTGCCCCAAACACAGTGGATGTTTCCGAAATTTAGGGTTTAGGCTTTAGAGTTTATTGGGTTTAGGTGTTCAGGACGTGGACTTAGGTTCTATACAGGCTTAGGATTTGATTGGTTTAGGATTGGCAGCTTCCGCTTCTGAGGGTTTGAGAAAGCCGAAATCGGTTGAATTCGCAGATTGCAGGGGCTGCTCCGAAGCTCGACTCCTCAAAGGCGTGCTTAGGGGTTCTTGGGATGTGGTAACTGCGTGTATCTGCGCTTCTAACCCTACGAAATGAGCCGTTACAAGCCTAAATCCCAAACCCTAAACCCTAAGACCTAAACCCTGACCCCTAGGCCGTAAATCTTAACCGCGGCTTCATGTCAGCTAGAGGAGAAGGTATGCCCTAGGAGCTGTAGATTCGTTTCTATCACTATATCCCTGATATGACTTTTACAAAAGCCCTTGAGGAGGTTGCATGTTAGTTGGGGGAGGGGAGGCGCACAGTCAAGTAGCAATCCGGCTTGTTGGCATCAGCGCCAGCCTCCCAGGGTTGAGGCCCCAAGTCCTAAACCCTACTAGGTTCCCCAGTAACAACCCATTGATAATAGGGGTAATTACCCTTTTTCCTACTGTTCAGCTTTATTTAATAATTAAAGAGACCCCAAATAAAAAGGGCAAAAGGGTACTACTGGGGTACCTAGCCCACACCCTACACCCCAAACCCTAACGTGGAGGCTCAGCGTCCTTGCGCTTTCGTGCTCTGTTCTGTATTTTCGGGGGGCATGTGCAAAAAACGAACGTCCGTGGTCCAGGTAGTGGTTGGGGAACAGGGTGTAATGATTTGGGTTTAGGGCTTAGGTAAGTATCTTATGATCAGGAATTCGGGTTTTAGATTGGATTTCAACAAAAACACACATTCTCGGTATGATTTCCGTAGAAACTGGCATTGGGGCCGGGTCGGGGGGAGGTCGTCAGAATTTACCATCTCCTGAATCTGTTGATGCAGAGATATACCTCAAGTAGTAATAGGTCAGGGTATAAGGCTTTGGAATAGACCCCTACCCCTAACCCTGAAATAATACAAGGAACCCTGGTATACTTCAAGGTTTAGAGCCTAAGCCCTAAATCACCCGAAATCGCAAAACCCAAACTACCCTAAAGCCTAAAACTTCACAGAGTCTATCTTCGGAGTACCTCCGTCAGCAGCCGCACGGCATCCAGATGCCCCTCTAGAGCTGCCGCATGGAGCGGCGTCTCGCAGTGACTATCCTCCAGAGGTTTAGGGTTTGGGGTTTAGAAGTTTTAGGTTTCAGGGATTAGGGTTCAGGGTTTAGGTGTCAAGGTTTAAGGTTTAAGGCATAGAGTTTCATGTCAGGGTTTAGGGGTGAGGTTTAGGGTTTGGGGCTTACGGTTAGGGGTTTGAAGGTTCAGCATGGAGTGGCGCCTTGCAGTGGGAATCTTCAAGACCAGTTCCACATGGAGATGCTATCAAAAAATACAAGGTATTCCTTAGTGGGTTCTAGAAAATGAGAGTAAAACGGCTTAAAATCATGATTCTTGGGATTTCGGCCATAAAGCTAGAGTAGCGAGGCGAGTTCGAACTTCGGCATGGAAGAGGCTTTGGGCTACATATGAGCTATAGTCCAAACTCCTAGTATCACTCATGATAATCTCTAGAATACTCCCCTATAGAACCCTCTTTCAAGGAGTTTAGAATAGCTCATATGGGAGCTCCTCTCAAAGGAGTGGTACCTTTCTGAAAAAGAGTGCAACTTTCTGATCCTTCTTGTAATACTTGGAAGGTCCCTTTTAGGGTTTGTAGCATTTAGGGCTTAGGGTTTGGGATGTGGTGTCTAAAGTGTCTCTACAGTCTGGCCAAATCATGCAAAATCCAACTGCACTCGGAAACACCTGAGGCCACAGAACCCGAATGCCCTCGAATCAAGATGCCGCCGCCCCCAACGTCCAAAAACTTCCACCCACAAAAAAAAATCAGACCCTAGGGCCCAAAAACTTCAAACAACACAAACACAAGTTTAGATCCGGATATCTGAACCTGCAAAAATCCTGACTTTATAGACCCTTAAAGCACTGAAGTCTGCTGTCGCAGTAGGGCCTGAGTTATGAAGAAGAGGATGTTGAGATGTATGTTGGGGTTTAGGGTGTAGGGTTTAGGTCCAGCCCCCCACCCATTTACAGTCTATAATAGGGGTCATATTCAGGGCACTATCATAATCTTATCCAACTGTTAACGCGTCGGAGGAGATGTGGTAGCTTCCCACACTGGAGGACCCCACCATAGACCTCAAAATCAAATAGACCTCATTGTAGGGACAAACAAGGGAACCCCTACTTTTCGGAAACCCCATGTATTCATAATGTGGTTAGCAGAGAATATATATTATTCTAAGGTTGAAACCATGGGCCCCTAGTACGGGCCCAAAACTATGCGATCCTTATATACCTACATACCCTCTCACCCTTTAGGGTCCCTAGATTCCCCCGAAAAGGGCAAAGGCCATATCAGGGGCCCATACTTCGAACCTTAGAAAAAGGATTTTATAGGGATTGTATTCCCTTATTCCCTACTAGCCCCCAGGAAGTCAACATCAAGATTCGCCATGAAGGTTTCTGTTTAGGGTTTAGGGTTGAAGGTTCAGGGTTTAAGGTTGGGGGCTTAGGGTTTGAGGTTGAAGGTTTCGAGTTTAGGGTTTATTCTTTTGCAGCCAAGCTTCCGGCAGGTTCATATTTGCACGTCCTGGCGCTAAGGTACATGGGCTGCATACTGGGCAGCCTTTGGGTTATTCTCAAAATTAGGGGTCCGATTTGGTAATAAATCATTTTGCGGGACCTAATATTTCGGGGCACCAAAATCAAAATGGGACCCTAATTTTGGAAACTACCCATAGGTAAGAAACATGGCGTGCTGATGCCATATGCTGAGGAGCAAATGCTAGCTTTCCCTGAGTTAAGTGAGTTTCTGGAAGCGTTGCGGTTTGATAGGCAGGCACGTCTAGGAACAAGGGTTGGATGACAAGTGATAGGTGCACGGAGACTGGTGTAATGTTGAAAGGTTGACAAGGTTGTGGCAAACAGGCTTGGATTTGGTCGCTTTGTTGCATGGCCTGGCTGTTTAGAGGGTTTAGAAGGGTTTTTGTGTGGGAGTATGGCCGAAGACGTGCAGAAATCAATGCCCAAAAGTTTTTCAGCAGTTGTGGAGCACCGTAACATACCAATCTGCACTTTGAACTCAGAACCATGGACTCAAATAACAAGTCGGAAGCCCACCCTGAACCCTAAGCCCAGTCAAATTCCAAACCCCTAACTCTAGGAGTTCATCTAAACTACGGCAATCATGTTTGCGAGTTGACGATGCCAGTTATCACCTACCACCGAGGAAAGCATTCAGACATGGAGGTTTCTGTGAAAGTTACGGTTGCTTCAGTTTAGGGTCCCTCCCCCAGGCGGCGCTTATCATGGGAATCCATGGACGTCTAGTCGCTTTCCTCCTGCAACGCCAATGAACCTCCTTCCCCTCTAGCAAAATCCAGGCCCCTGAGATCGTTGTTACACGCTGGGATGTTCCTTGCATACTGGGGAACACTTACAAACGCAAGAATTCCCGTACCTCCTCATATACGCTGCCTGTACGCGCGGAATTAAAATGTCATCGGGGCGCGAAGTAGCAAAAGATTTCGTCCATCCGCCATGATACGCGAGTTGGGGTGTTGTAGCTTGCCAATTTGTCATATTTTCCGAATCTCAAAACTTGAGCCACACTTCTCGTCACTTGAGGGGATCATACCTGGCCCTTGAGGTTTGACGTTTGGTTTTGTTTAGGGTTTTAGGGTTTAAGGCTTTAAGGGTTATTCGAGTTTAGGGTTTAAACCTAAACCCCAAAGCGGATTTAGGGCTTCCGGCCTGCTACGAGTGTGCGGACCACCCCGACATATCCAAACCTCAGCGGGCTCGGGCAGGCAAAATACTGCAGGAGCCTAGACCACTGTCAATATATGGAGAAATCGAACTGGGAGCAGATGGTGATCTGTGGGGTGGTGGGGGGGAAGGTAAATTTGAACACATATCTGTTGGAGGTCTATTGGAAGCACGCTAGGCCATCATATTACAAGGAGTCTAGAACCATGACATTGACTATTCTCCCCACAAAGCCCCAGTCTAAACCCAGCTTCCATTTCATGCTTCATTTCTGCCATTGGATTCTCCCCTTAACGCGCAAGACCCTAGACCCTGCACCCTAATCTCCATAATATTGACGATTGTCTCAATTTGCACGTAATACACGAAGTTAAGGACTTGTAATTTGGGGGTTGCTTTTTATGGAGGTTGAAGTCCTATGATGAGGATCTAGATTTTGTGGGGGACATTTGAGCCATTGCCCTAAGTGTCCATGTACCCAATAATTAGGTACTTGGGATTTGGGTAATAGAAATTATTGTACAGGCTTTGGTCAAGCATATGATCAATTATTGGTATTTGGATTGTCTAAACTCCTAGTATCCCCCTCATAACCTCCAAAATACACACCTATTATACACCCCCCTATATTTGATGAAAGGGCACCCATAATTATTATACACCCATACGAGCGTTAGAACGTATTAGGCCTTCGCTTATTCAACGATCTTGTGCTGCACGTGATTTTGCACCCCTTAGCTTGCTGCATCCCCGAAATGACACTGTCTCCATGCGTTGTTATCATTTAGCCCCGATGTATATAGAAAGTTTGCCTTTTTGCATTTTTATGGGTCCTGAGCCAGTCCAGGTAGTTGCCCAGTCCTCAATTCCTTTTTGGTTTGAGGCTTGCAAATAGATTGGTTTAATTAGCAGCTTTTGCTTAAGGGCATGTGAGCTTGGTGTCCAAGGTGTTGAGGGTTTAGGGTTTACTGTAAGGGCTTCCAGCTTAGGAGTTTGGGGTTACTGGGTTTAGAGTTTAAGGGTTTACGGTTCAAGAAATATTCTATAAGCTAAGCAAACGTGCAACCCAGATGGGGATCTACCAAAGCACTGTCATTTGAACAAATAGCCCACTTCCCTGGCAGGTGCTAGGCATTGCGCAGGAATATTGGCCATCCAAAGAAAACCGCCCACTTTCGTGCATGACTTGGAATTCTGCTATTAGTTCAAAACTAGTAGCTCGGCCGCATCAACTGCTCACCGTTGGGCTTGGCAAGGCCCGATCAAAATGAAACTCTTGCTGGCCCCCATTCGCGTCACAATGCCAAAGCAACAACACCCAAACCAGAAGCGACGGCGTCGCTTTGATTCTATGAGTCCACTCATCAAAGACAGGGACTGCAATGCCAAGATGTATGCAAATGCTCTTGGGTACTTTGGGCGCTGTAGCTCAACCCTGGAACTCAAAGACTAAGTCGCTGTCGTACCTGACTAGATGGTGAAACAAACAAAACAAACAGGCCAGCACGCATGAATTGGATTTGATGACTATTGCACATTTTCACCAGAGGGAAGTTGCTACGGTTTAGGGTTTAGGCTTCAAGTTTCAACAATCCCTACCCAAAGATTCCAGTGCAGTTCCTTTTTGGGTCTGTCATGGTTGTTGAGCAAGGGCTCTCAATCTACCACTCAACAAGGAACCACACCAGAGCCTTTGGGTAACCCACAGTCTTCTTCTTCGTGCACTATAAGTCGGGGTGCGCTGCAGCTTCGTGCAGTGGTGTTCGGCCGAATCGATTCCTTATTCTCCACCACTTGAGCTATATAGTCTAAACTCCTGGTGTCTCCCTTTATGATCCCCATGATGCTGCCCAAAATAACCCCCTAAATAACCCCCTTTCAGGAGCTTAGACTATAGCTCACTTGGAGTATTGAAGGCAAGAGAAGATAGGGCTTTACTAAGGTCCCTACCAACCCAAATACCATGAGCAAAAGTATACCAATAGCGCAACTCATTGGTCTACATGCATCTATGGGTCATATTAGGTCATAGTAATTGGTTCACTGGTGCATGTTGCAGTGACTTCGCTTCTTTGCTTTTCACATACGCCTGCCGCACTTTCGGTCACGTTTGCTTCAAGATGGGGTGAGTTTTTGAAGAGCTTGGAACTACTGTGTTTCAGCCAGTTCTAGCATGAACATATGAGCTATAAGCTTAACTCCTAGTATCCCCCTGAATATCCCCTATAATAATGCCCTATACCATCCCCTATATAACCCCCTTTAAGCAGTTTAGACTATAACTCATAATTATCCTAAACCCTAAACCCTAAACCCTCAACCCCAGACCCTAACCCCCTCTAAGGAGTTTAGACTATAGCTCAAATGTGATTGCAGAACCCACAGTCCATATCTGTTGTTTTCGCCTTAGGTTGCGGCAAGGGTAGACAGCGAGAGCCGAAAACAGCAACTGGAAGGGTTTAGAGTTTAGGGGTTTAAGGGTTAAGGGTTTAGGTTTAAGG